AAGACTCCGACACCCAAGTTTCTTTCCTTCGATCTCTTGTCTATTTTATTTTCACAAATCAATCATCTGCTTCCCCTCGCTGGATTCGCTTCCCTTCGACCTGCTGTTCAGTTATTATCAATCACTCACTCCCTGGTTAGTTTTCACTTCCTAACTTAAACACATTGCACACAAACTGTGTGTAAACATCAGAGCCCATTGGCGTAAAATCATCGTCGACAAAAGGGTTATTTGTTAAGTTCCATTGATTTGGCATCGAATACTACCTCATTAAAACAGCCTCCTCGATTTTAGCCTAATCGACATTCTCGGGGCAAACACTAAGATTATTATGGCAATTAATGTTTTCATCTCGCGTCTTCGGCGGCATTTTTCTTTCAGCTGATACTTTCAAGGGCGTTTTTATCTTGTGTGGAATCCAAGTTACGTAAAATGCTCTTAAGGACTTGATAAAGTTAGGGACACAGACAATTGCAAAGTGTTTCTATCTCAGTAAATTGACAATAAATTGACATATATTGATGTATAAGTCCCTTTATTTTGCTTAACAATACTGGCAACCGATTTCCATGTCAATCATCATATCATTTTTCCGTAAGGATGGAAGGGTTTATCAAAGGTGGATGCCCTACCCTGATCGAATTGATAAAAGTTGAATTCTCCGACGTTCAATAGATTCTCGATCCTACAAAGTGGTATTGTTCAAAGGGATTCCAGAGAGCACAAATTGGCTGAAGCATTAACCATCTACAACTTCCCTGATGGATCGATGGAGATGGTTCATTACATGCGTGTTTGCATGAGAATGCGATCTTTTTTATCTTTTTTTAACCACTTTCAGTTCTCAAAATTGTCTCATGTTACAGAAAAAAAAACTGCCTAGCAAATATTACTGAATTACCATCAAAGACCAACCCAATCTGGAGAAAGTTACCTAAAATGATGAATAATGCCCGCAGAAGTGTGAAAGTCAAAATTGTTGGGTAAATCTAGATCTGCTGAGAGAATGGTTTTCCTTCCATTTGTATGGTTGTTTACTTTAATTAAGAGAAACGCTTTTATTACTAGATATAGGTTCTTCAAGAGGGCAAAACATAGAAGCTCTCCGCTTTCCGTATATTCTATTCCTAAATCCTTTCAACTTCTAAGAATTAGCCATGATCTCCTCGACCCCAGTTTTGAACTATTTCAGTTTTTTTACGTCTACTGCCTCAGAAGATTTTAAATAATATTTTGGGTCTGTTATTGAACTTCCAAGTTGCGGCGGCGCGGGCGTAACACCGTTTTTTCGTCGCGTGACTCTCTATCTCTCTACAATATCATGCCGTGCGGTAAATAAATATTCAGTCACTGTTTTTTGGGCTCTAATATCTCCGTTCAAGTATTCAATTGTCATAAATGACTTACACACTGAATAATAAACTCTAGCGTTTCAAGGGCCTTAAAACTAATGTGAAAAGGTATTAACTGGAGCCAGAAGTGAAGAACTTCGTAGAATCATGTTTTGCTTTGAGGATAAACACTTCCCACCGACAACATATTCACCCTCTTATTTCCTTGACCGTTTCCGTAAACTGTAGACTCTCGTTTTTCTCCTCCTCTTTTATTCTCCCCTCCCTTTGTGTTTCCTTCCTTTACTTGCCTACTCATGAATATCGCGAGTGAACCTTGATGATCATTTGAGGAAACACCTTTTTTTAGACAGTTTCATTAGAGCGTGAGAGCTCCGTATTTGCCTTATCTCCCACGTCAGCCAAAAAATAATATTGCTTTTAAAAAAGTCCTTAAAACTTCCGCAAGGGGTTACAAAAAATAACAATCGTTAGCTAATGGCCTCAAGAGCAATAAAGTTTTTTATTTTCCCTAAGGGTGAAGTATAATATAAGGACAGGTGATCTCCAAATAGATTTGAAGAAGTATAAAAACATTTTAGACCTGAACATAACCTGAATTTAGGAAGGATAATTTGTGATGCAATTGAAACACCAAGAGAAATAGTCTACGATTCAAAATCTTACAAATATTTTGACAGCTACGTGTATTAGCGTCGCTTTACCGTTAAAGAAATACTGAAACAATTATAAATGAAACAAGTCGGTTACTTTGCTGGGTGGTGGTTTTATTTGTCTTAACCAAGAGTACTCACAACATGCTTTTTTAGCAAACTAACATTGCAACAAAATTAATTGCATAGTAGAATTTTTATATGTTATGGATTATAAAGAGTTATGAATTAGTTGAAGTGCAGGCCAAACGAGCGTATGAGCTAAGAACTTAAACAAGTAAAAATTAGGACAAAATTAGGATTCTGCTATGCGTCGGTTATTCATTCCAATTACTGTTTACTAAATTATTGGTAAAGGTGCCAAGTTACGATTTATATGTCTCCTAATGTAAAGCCTGATTTGTAACAACCTTGCTAGGAAACTGCACGTAACCATGTAACAATCATTTCTGCTGTCGGTTTCCACCTACTCGTAGAGCATCGGATAAAGAGGCGATTGATAAATATCAAGTTAGGGCAGGATATAGTGAAATATTACAGTCATGTAATTAATATACCCTGCAGATGCCCTGATGCCCCGAAAATATTTTGGACTTTAAATAATCATGATAAAAATTTTCTAGTACTTTGCTTCTATAAACAAAACTAAAAAAATTGTATTCCATCGCTGGAGGCTACTTTGAAAAGAAAAATGACCTCTGAGCCTCTAGCATTTTTTTAAAATTTTTGATAGCATGGTAAATATTTTACATCCAAAGAAAAGGTTTTCAAATTTTATCTCAGTTTCATCTGGTTTTAAGGATCTTTGTGACTTTTGTTGCATGACAGGACTGGGAAAATATATCGATTCGTGATAACAAACAACAATATTTATTTGCTTAAATCTTGATTCTAATTTTTGCTCACCCAAAAGTGTTGAGTATATCAATGTACTTGCTTCAAGCATTTTTCAATTCATGCTTATCACTATAAATTATTTCTATAATCTGGGATGGAACAAAGGTATAAAAAATACTTGATGTTGATCCTCTAATTGCAATTTCGTCATACATTACTTAGAACTATCACTTGTAATGGTAGCATTGACAGTCTTCTGATTACAATTTTCATCATAGATTACTTAGGACTGCCACTTGTAATGGTAGCAATAACATCAGTCTTGAGATGTTTTAAAAAATCATTTTTCACACCAAAACAAAATCCACCTGCAGGCCGCAAAACCTGTGCAAATGTTTACTCTACAAAATGCGACACTACACAGTTAACCTCGAGGAAAAAAAATAACTCACAGACAGGAAGAAAATAGATTATTGGCGAGGAACGTTATCGTTGTGAGATAGGCGCGCTTAAGGTATTATATACCGTGTAAATATATACACAGGTGAGCTCTGAAATTCACCTAATGTCTTATTTCTTCTTGTATCTCCTCAAGTCCTATCTCGGAAAAACACTTCAGTAAAAAGCGGATTGCAAAGGTCTGCTTCTCAAAGGCAGAATCCTGACCGACTGTTGGCGATACATCATCGAAAGAGAACACGAAAATAGCAAGTTGGTTTCGGATGAAAGAAATATTGAAAAAAACATTGAAAGAAACATTGAAAGAAATATTTTTATTACGAATCTCTCTTCAGAGCCAATTTTATCTTGTCAACTGTTGCCTGAGTGGCTTTTATTTTTTTGGCATCATTTTCAAAATCACGCATATTTTTTGCCGCCGCTAAGCTCCCTTGACACTTTGAATAAGACGGTTTCCTTTCATAAATTTTACTGCATGATACATCAATAACAATACACGCTAGTACATTAAATGTGTACTTACCAAGTTTATTCCGGTCCAAGATGCCAAGCTCCTTAGTAAGCAAGCACGGTGACTTACATCTAACAGTATTACAAACGTTCTTGTAATCGACAACCAATCAGAATGAACTAGCTACTAACGCGTCACTTCTTGCATGTTACGTGATAGAGTAAAACTTGAAATGTAAATTTGTTAGCTATAACGTAACTTAAAATAATTCTGACGCCAACAATTCCAAATTTGACGCTTGTTACAGGTCTTGATCACCTACCATCAAAAAGCTCTTTTTCATTGTCTCATAAATAACATGGTTTGAAAGATGAAAAATAAATCGAGATTTTGTGAATTCAAAAAGGCTAAGTTAAGATTATTCTTTGCCGTCCCCGGCTGTTTCCTTTCTGCTTTATGCCATCTATTTACCGTGTGAACTCCAATATCTAAAACTGCAGTAACAGATTTTATCAACGTTTTATCTTGTCGTTGTCTTAATATGTAAATCAGTTAGCTAACGTAATTGATTTCATCTTTGCTCGGTCATTTCCCTGGGTAATTTTTGCTTTTTGCTCTCTTGTCGAATCGTGTTGCCAACGATCTTCACTTGGCAATACCCATACAATCGAGTTCTTTCTATCCTTCCGAATTAAACAAGCAGAGATACAAAAGAAACATAGGACAAAAGAGTCAAAATACAAAAAACAGTGAGGAGAACAACGATGAACTAAAAAAAAATTTAATTTTGTCGTAATCTGCTCTTAGTACGCCAAACTAGCACTGCATGACTGTGACGTCGCGAGAATCGATAAGCGCATAACTGTTATTACATTCTTAGTTCAGTTTGACGGTGTACGTGTTCCTGCTTTGCCATATCTTCAGGAACCAAGATACAAAGATTAAAATGTAGAGATTTTATAACGAAGAAATTGGCCATCTTTTGATCGTTAAATTTTTTCTACGTTGTACACTTAATCCATTTTTGGCTTTCTAAAATATACATTTTCTATTGTATTTGATACTCCGATCCTAGGCTATCATGATTTCGGAAAAAAATTAATTTGATGAATGAAATAAAATGAAAACACCACCTCCAAGTAAGCATGATAAATAAACATTTAGATCAATATGTATGAGCCTGCGATGCAATTGACGCTTGCTGACATCATGTCATCTTTCAAGTTGATTACACGACGCCGATTGAGTCGCTCACAATATGGCGTCTAAGGTGGACGAAGATTCCGAAGAAGGAAGAAAATCTGTTGAAGAACGGTTGGATGGGAATAGAGAAAAATATGAACAGTGCGCGGTGGAAGAAGTTAGAAAAGAAGAACATTTAAAAAACAGGTCTAAATTTTCTGCGAACGCGCAGGTAGTTGAAGAGTTGTTTGACAATGTTTCTGGAGAAGATTCTGAAAGTGAAACATTTCAAGATGCAGTTGAGGATTTAAATGAAAAAATTAACTCTTGTAAAGCGAAGTCGAGTGAAGATACGAATGAAGAAGAGAAAGAGGGAAAAAACGAGGTAGCGGAGGAAGAAGAAAGGTTAACACCTGAAGAAAAGGAGGTAAGGATTTTAGAATTCTTTGAGTTTCAATTTATACGGCCGTACATGTTTCAAAAGATTTTTTTTACATTTTACATACTGTTATACAGCTTCATCCACGCCTGTAAGCACAGTTTGACTCACGTTTAGTCAAGTCATGCGGATATCTTGCCGAGAGATGTTTCTGTTACAAATAATGAGTAACAGTAGTTAATTTTATCAGCTTAGCGCTTGCTTTGCATAACAAGTGACAACTGAAGGCACATTTGATATTAAAAAGGGTCAAGATTGTAAGATAAGAATGGTATAGGGGGTTCCAAAAAATTTTACCACAAATTATGCGTAATTAAAAAGTGTGCCAATCTACGTTGTTGTACAATTTGTAGATTTTGTCTCAGATTACCAGAGCTATCTGATAAGAATAAGAACTTCAGCTTGGATTTCTTTTTATTGATTATGGGCACAATCACTTTTCACTTTTTCTTTTACCTTGATTTTGTTTTACTAAGGAAAGAAAAATACAGGCACAGGAATTTAAAGAAAAAGGCAATGATTATTTTAAAAGATCTGGTAAGTGAGTATTTGTGGTAAGTGAGTATTTGTACAATGTACTTGTTAGCTAATCAACACTAGAAATTTTCTTGTGGAACTGTTAAATGATATATAGCACAATTTTTTCCTCAAGATAGGTAGTTTGGGGTCAAGATCAACACTGTGCACTGTGTAAAAGTCTTGATGTCATCTTAAATTTAGTCAAGACTCTAAACAGAATTGACTAGAGTTACGTTAGACATGTCTTTTTATCTCAACCATATGTAATATTGATGTGATGTACTAGGGGTATTTACTAGTCTAGATCATTGATATAGAAGTTATTGAGAAGGAAATTTATCGGCCATGACTTCTTGCCATGTAAATATTTGAGGATCAGGAATGTTTTGCTATATCTGGATATGACTAAGTACAAAAGATATATTTTTTAGCTTATGATGGTAACCTCCAGATATTTTTCGCAAGCAGGTGTATGTTTAACAGCTTGCTAATCACTTGAAATGGGGTTAATTTGGCTGCCATACTTGTATATCGTACTCTGAGATGATAAAATAACCCTTATGATCACTAGTAAATTAAGACATGTTCTTGAGGTATTTTTGCATTTCTATTTTTATTGCAATATGTACCAGTTATCTGCATGCCAAACAGAACAAAATGTCAAGCCTTTATTCTCTTTAGGACAAAGTTATTTTATTTATACCATTTTATTTAATGAATAGTTAAATTTAAAAGTTTTGTTTAGCATAAAAACAGCGATGCCATCAATCTTTCTATCAGATTTCAAGAAAAAAAGAAGATACTGACAGTAATGTTCTCATGTACAGCTCCACTTACCAAATATCAAAAATACTCTTTTTACTCTATCATCTTGTTTTAATTTATGAATATGAATATACATGTATGTTAAGGGCATCAATGTTTCATTTCTTTTATTTTTTATTTAGAATATCCTGAAGCTAGAGAACTGTACACCAGTGCAATAAAGATATGTCCAAGTGATTTTACAAAGGAAAAATCCATATTTTATGCAAACAGAGCAGCCTGTCTGGTTAAAATGGTATGTTTGCTCCTTTGTGAGACCTATAATATTATGTAATGATTGGTTATCAGAAATAATATTATGATTTATGGGATAGGATGCATTGTGAGAAAGACTTCTGATGATTGCTGGGTAATGAACACAAAAAGTTTTTTTGTTTGATTTCTCTGCAATAACACAGTGATATGTGCACTGTACCCAATGTTATTTTTTTCATCAAGTTATCTGTTATGTACAGTAGGTATAACTTTTACAGATAATAATCTTGATATTTACGTGGGTTAGCCATGCTTAACTTGATACTAATTCAAAGAAATGTTTTTATTTATAGGAGCAACACAAAGAAGCAATAGAAGACTGTACAAAAGGTAGAGATTGTTGATTTTACATTTTAGTTTATAAGTTTTTTTCTTCAAGTGTGGGTTAAGAAAAATTTTAGTTAAATTTTGTGACTGAATGAAAGGTTCAATTTTATGATTACCAGGTATACTGTACTAACAAAAAAAAGTAATAATGATACTGTCTTTATACAATGTACCTGCACTGTAATACTTTGCAGATGTTCTTTTACTATGGACATGCTTAATTCCAAGTTCCTGCATTAATCTTGTGGGTTTTTTTTCTCTGTCTAGCCTTAGACCTAAACTCGGATTACCTCAAAGTTAGACTCAGGAGAGCTCAGTGCTTTGAACATGAGGACAGATTAGAAGAGGCATTAGAGGGTAAAATTTATTAGTAAATTTGAGTGTATCATATATACAAGTGGATGGTAGTATATAATATTTTGTATTTTTATTTTCAAGGAAGGATGATTGCCTATCAATTTATTTTGTTTCACCACAACCAATTTACCTAAAGGTTACACCTGGTTAAACCCCTTTCCCCAAGACCATCTAAAAACTTATTACCCTATATAACAAGCATACAATGCACATTTTTTTGTGGCTATTTGACATGTGAATTTAGTGTTAAAAGGAATTTTTAAATTGAGGCTTGCAAGTTATTGGGGATTGCTGAATATTCTCTTCTGGCAGGAAAAGCTTTCTTAGATAAGAGTCCTCCCAAAACAAACTCAGGAAAATGTTTTCTCACACATTGTTGTGGCTTTTTTTTTTCATAAATTCTGTATAATTTTTACAATTATAATGTCTGGTTAAATCATCTCTCCAATTGAATTAGTTTTGCATTTCCCTCAATTTTCACACCTTCTTCTCAAACAGTCAGGTGAGGAACCAAAACCCACCTTGACTTTGTTTGCGCATTTGAATGTTTCTTAGGCAGTTGGATTGTTTTGAATTTGAGTTCTTATTGGCTTCTCCCTCATTCTGATTGTCCATATTGGTTTCCTTGGTTTTGGCATTATGGCACTCAAAAGAAAAACCCTTCTTTTGGTGGCAGTATTTTTTAGATTGCATTCTCTAGTTTGGCTCCTTCTTTTTTTTTATTGAAAAAGGCATCGAGGGTGTATTTCCCTGTTTCCATTTGTAACCCAAGAAAAATCCTGTAAAAGATAATATTTTTATTCTTAAGAATGTATGGTGAAAAATGAATTTTTTGATCAATTTGTTTCAAGATTACCAGAAAGTGTTTGATATGGATCGTTCATCTCATGTGGCAAGAGAAGCACTAATGGTAAATGATTTTGTATTGTCTACTGAATGTTTACTAACTTGGATGCATCTGAGTGGCTACCATATAAGAAAGCTATCTCAATGTACCATGATTTTCACCTTACACATACATTGTCTATAATAATCCTCAAACCAAGGATTAACTACAATTTAAACACTATTTAGTCTATTTACGAACTACTAAACACTATTTATTTGTCCTTATATGCTATGTTTATTACCTATATACTCCTGAGAATCACAGACTTGTGAGAATGGACAGACAATTTGATGTCAGTGAGATGTTTACTTTCTTTTTTTTCTTTACTATCTGAAGAGACTTCCTGAACAAATAAAAGTCAAGCATGAAAAAATGAAAGAGGAAATGATAGGTATGTGTTGAAAAAAGTTTTGATGCCTTTCACAAGGTACTTGCACTTGCTGAATATTGTGTGCATTGCGTATCCCTTGCATCATGTGTCCATTGCAATAACAATGAACACCATGTACAAGTGCACATCTTGCCAAAGTCATCAAATAGTTTCCCTACTTAATTTTTGGGAAATTTTAAAGATTTGGAGTTGTGCGAGTTATGACACAAACACATGTACAGCATGTATTGTATTTAATGCAGTTAAATGCAGTTTAACAGAGTTAACAACAAAGAGCATTAGCAATCTCTACGAGTCAGTAGTTTTTTGCATATGCACATGCATCAGAATTCCATGTGCTCTTTGTTTGAGGTGTTCTTGCATGTGCTTTGTGTGTGAACTTGCGGTGTTGTGAGGAATGCTAGCTCATCATCCAAGCAGTTTTTCCTACACCTTCCCTCTCTATTTCCACTGTTTATTCAATGTGATGGGTGCCTGTTTCTCTTTCTTGTGTGGGGGCTCATGGCTGGGTTGCCAGAATTTGCCAGCCATGGAAAAAGTCTCCATCTAGGTGCTGGCTGCCAATAGTGGAAGCTCCTGGATGTTTCAGGCACCCAACCTCCGCTTAGTGATGCAGTTGTTAGTGCCATTAAGTGCCCAACTTCAAATAAGGGCCCACCTTAAAAAGGTGCCCACCCTGTTGTTAGGAAAGTTTATTTACCATACCTTAAGTCAGCAGATTACATGCATTGGGGAATAAACCCCCATCTTGAAAACAAAAGTAAATCATGAAAAAAAATAGCTATAAGCTTAATGATGTTTGTGTGTTTTTGTTTAAATGCATGACATGAACACTGCAAACTCATGCATCTATTGTATACTATGTCAGTTTTTCATTCTTTGTTGACATTGTTTTCTTTTTTGTTTAGGGAAACTCAAAGATTTAGGAAATGTTTTTCTACGGCCTTTCGGCCTGTCTACGGACAATTTCAAGGTTCAACAGGATCCTAATTCTGGAGGCTACTCGGTTAATTTTCAAAAATAAATTAGAAGGCTTGAATAAAGTTGAAGTAGACTGTCTAGAGATTCTTCAAGCACATCTACAAATAGATGGAAGAGAGTAGACAAGGGTATAAAATCATGGACCGAGCTTTTCTCAAATTATTAAAAGACACATCCAAGCATGAACATGTTATCATTGAGTCAAACAATAAGGGAAAATGGGTAATAGCAGTGAAGAAAGGACTTGTGTTACAGCAGGCCTGCTTCAAGATTGAATTATGAAAAACAGCTCCAAAATATTAGAAAGTTCATTATGCTTTTGGGACATATTGTGATGGTATAACATGGCACTAAGATATGGCACTATATTAAGGCACCACAATGTGGCACTTAGTTTTTTTAATGATGATGTTTTTCAAGAGCAGTCTGGTATAATTATATTTTACTTTGTTACTTACCATAGAATTCTCGCCTCCTATTTTGTTTTTCAAACATGTGATCACAGTTTGTTTCTGAAACAAATTCATAAATGTTTTTCTGTGATCCAAAATCTGGTGTTATTGTTGCAGTTTCATTCCTGTTGAGGTAACACTTTTTACAAGCCTTTACCAATTTGCTCATACCTTTCTTGTTATTTCCCTACTCTTTCTTTTCCTCCCTTGTCACTTTTCTCCCTGCCTTTTTCACTTTTCCCCCACTTTATTATCTCCAACTTTCTCCTTCTGTTCTCTCAGCCTACTTTCTTCTCTTCCTTCTGACCCTTCTCCTACATAATTCATTGCCTCTCTCTCTCCTTTATTTCTCTTTGCCTCATGCCCTTACTTTCCTCCCTGCCTTTTTCCCTCTTCCCCCACATTATTCAACTTTCTCCTTCTGTTCTCTCAGCCTACTCTCCTCCCTTCCTTTATTCATTGCCTCTTTCTTCTCTATTTCTCTCTGCCTCATGCCCTTACTTTCCTCCCTGCCTTTTCTACTCTTCTCCCACATTATTATGTTCAACCTTCTTATTCTCTTCTCTCTGCCTACTTTCCTCCCTGTGTTTTCTACCCTTTCCCTTAATTTTCTCTTTGTCTCCCTTCATAAGTGTTGCACTGCCATCTCATTAATTCACTCTTTAGAGTGAGGGACATACAGGAAGAATTGCAAACATTGGTGGGCTTATTGGTAATTGATCCCTTACTGTAGTAGTGTGTGCACGAGATTATATTTTCTAATGTTGTACTAGGTGTATTACATACAGTACCCTTTGGTACATCTTTTTTTATGTGTGGGATGGAAATCCTAAGACTGCGAAAAATTAAACAGATAGGAAAGGCAGTAGCTTTGGATTTTAACAACTTCTCTCCAGAGGAACGAATATAGGATTACAACTGCTTTAGTTAGATCACACCAAAAAGTGTATTTTAGTCTTAAATTTCTGCCATTTAAACATTTTAACCCTTTAGCTCCCATGAGTGATCAAGAAAGAATTTCTCCTTACAATATCGATACAACATCAAGATAAGTGATGAGAATAAAGAAAAATATAAATTTGGGGATAACTAGTTGATCCAATACTGAATTCTCTGAACAAATATTGAATGAATTGTATGGTTGACAGTAAGGAGAATTACAAATTTTATCTGGGAGTTAAAGGGTTAAGAGGGGAAATTTAGAGGATTGGCCCGTATAGTCGCGGGATCTATCCTCGCGCGGGCAAAACAGCACACGCGCGTCCTTCATGTGGTCACTGCCCAAGGAACGTCACGTGATAAGTTGCGTGAATTTCAACGGTCAACAAGGAGATGTAATTTCCTTCCAAAATCTCACACGATCGGATCACGCACTGATTTAATCGGAAGAACACGAAAAGTTAGCTGAAGGGTCTGCACTTAAGGGGATGGAGGTTATTTCTCGCGTATTTCAGCTGACTACAACCGAAGCTTCGACAACTGACAACAAACAAGTACGAATCGCAGAGAAGCCTCTCGATCAGATCTTGTCCACTACAGCAGCATCACTTTCTATCCTGGGATCTTTAACTATTATTATCACGTTCTGCCTGTGGCCCGATGTGAGAACAAAATCTCGTCTTATGATCGTTTTTATATCGGTTTGCGATCTCCTGGTGGCCAGCTTCAACATAATAGGCATCTTTTTGAACAAGGACCCAAGAACTTGTAAAATCCAAGCAACGGTTAACATCGCTGCCATTTTGTCATCTTTCTTTTGGACCGTGTATTTATCCCTTTATTTTTATTTGACGATTTGCAAAAAAATTACTGAGAGGACGGAGAAAATCACTATGTGGTTGTTTCATGTAACGGCATGGGGAATTCCTGTGGTGATAGCGGCGGTAGGCTTTGGGGTACAAGCAGTAGGAAACACCCATGACATGGTGTCATCGGGATGGTGTTGGATCAAGTATGAAAGTGGAAAAGCATGGTGGAGGACTGTTTTGTGGATGTTCATTGCTGGAAAGGGATGGGAAATCTTAGCATACATTGCAATTTCCGTGTTCTGCGTTTTGGTTAAGTTGAAAATCAAACAGGAGGTAGGTGTTACCCGTTTGACCCCACTCCATGGCCTCAATCCCTCTCTTCCATAACATTCAAGTACCCACTGGTAAGCACACCCATCAAATTGCCCTTGATAGGGTCCGCACAATCAACACTGTCAGTATTGTAGACCGGAATTGTAACAAAATTACGCTTTTACAGAAAAGAGGGCTGTGCAGTAGATGTAGAGCAGTACAGACATTTCATCTTATTGTTTCGTTTTGTTTTGTTTTCCATCTTTATAGCTCAATTGTGGATTTGTTCCAGGGAGCCATTTTCTGACTCTGAAATCAGTTGAAGTGGCAAGAAAGGCAGAACTAAAATTAATATTTATCCCTGTGGTGTTCATTTTGTTACGCATCTGGGGGACCATAAGATTTATTTTTTTCTTGGCTTATCACCCTGGTGACCCACACGCGCAGAAATGGCTCATTATACTCCATGTAAGTACTTTACTCGATTGCCTCTAAAGTTTCCTTTGTGGTTGAATTAAAATGACAACATATATCCAGATATTTTTTCTTGTCAGAATTTTACAACTAAAGAATTTAGTTCAAATTTTCTCATTTATCTTTTTCATATTACTAGATATTATATAATAAGCTCAGTTATGCATGCATTCTGATTGGTTCTCACCTATGATCTATTGGAGGACAGGTGTAAAGATGACATCATCATTAAAAATTTTTTTCCATATATTTTAATTCTTTATTATATATAACAAATAGATTCCAAGTTGCCATGCGTCTGTTCAGTAATAGATCACAGAGGACGTCAAAATGTGGTAAGAACATCAGTGACACACTCTGCTGTGCCTCATGTGCCTCTTTTTTGTTCTTACCACATTTTGACGTCATCTGTGATCTATTACTGAACAGAAACGCATGGCAACTTGGAATCTGTTTGTTAAATAGACAATATAAATCTAGAAATCTGAAGTCTACAGAGTTTGGACCATAAGTCACATCCAGTACCCTCTAACTAAACCCCATTAGTGAAGGGGGTGCATGGAAGTGCTGTAGCCTGATCGACTGCAAGATTCTCCTACTAGATTGTCCTGTCTCTTTGTTGAACATAAGGAGAGTTTGATGTTGTTTCTAATAAGATACATGACAAAAATACTCAATTTTAACTGGATAAGATACATGCAGTTTTCAGGTAATTCAATGCAGAAGAGAGTTAATTCAGTCCAAAGAAGTAACAAACCATACTGAACAATTCCTTGAACTGTTTAGCCAGACTTTGAACTTTTTTATGCCTTAAAGATGTGAAAATATCATTGTATATTATTGTTTTGATTGTACGTAGTTGTTTTGACCAAATGCACTGTTTGAATAAATTATTTTTGCACTTGATGTGCAGGCTTTTCCTCTGCATAATTATGATAATCTAACTCTTGTTTTTTCATGTAAATTATTAATACATAATCACATGATTTTTCTCATGCAATTTGGAATAAATAAGCACTCATAAATTTTTTCAAAAACCAGAAATTGCACTCACCCCATGGGCTTGTGCAATTTTGTTAGTCTTTGAAAAAATTCACATGTGCTTATTTATTCCAAATTGCACTTGAAATGATGTGATTACCTAAAGTATAGAAACATTGGCTCAGGTAAAGCCATCAGTTGACCCTTTTGTATATATTAAATAATTAATTCAATATATAGTGGTTTGGAAGGCTGTAAAATGGGAGTTGCATTGACAGATTGAGTTTAAAAGCTCACACTAATATGGTAGGTATATATATATAGGAGAGAAGGAGAGACTTCAGTTAACTTAGATTATTATTTACAAGTATTCCAGTAATCAAGTCATAATGTGATTCTAAGGTGTAAATGGTTAGAATTTTGAACAATGTAGTATGTGTAAAATTGAACTAAAGTATTCAAAGGTATTTGATTTTTTACTAAATTACTTTAATTATTCCTGTTTAATTTCAGGGAATTGGTGATAACAGTCAGGGATTTGCCGATTTTGTTCTGTTTTGTTTATTTACTGTCAAGATTAGGAACAAGTTCAGACATTGTTGTGGCAGGTTTATACCATTTTGTAAATATTCTGAAGAACAAGATCCCTTGTCTAGGAGTACAAATTTATGTTATGGAGCAGTTGATTAGTTTTGTTTTTTTTTTATCTGAAAAGATATTTTTAAACTCTTTGGAGACCTGGTTGTAGGTGGAAGATAACTTATGTAGATGAATGGGTCTACCAAAATTCCAATGTGATTTCTGATAAACTGGCAGATTGTCACTCCAAATTGTCAGTATGTTTCTCTAATGAAACAAAGGGAGAGTTTGAGCTGAACTCAAAAGTCACTCGGGCCTCTGTTCCATTGACCCCTTTAATTAATGACAAAGGTGGTTAAAGATGGAGAAGAAACCAGATAAAAACCATTAATGCTTGATATGTTGATAAGATGGATCAGGGTTGTTAAGAACTTCTGTTAAATTCTGAATAGATATGTGTTGGGGATTTTTCTTTAACCTTTTCTCAAATGTCCTATTTGACTAACAATTTTTAATGTGCAAACGTGAAGGCTTTGTTGACCCACTAGCTCTAACCTTAAGTCAAGGCCAACTCAATCTAATAAGAGCATGTTTTATATCATGATGTTTAGGAGATTTAAGTCTGTAGGTTGTAGTGGATGCCTTGATGTTCGTATTTAGGGTTACCAATGATAAAGGGAGGCAGATAATTTATTCCTAGCCCTCCTTCTAGCATCCTAGACAAATAAAAAGGAAAATAATACATGTAGCCTCAACTGCACTTACACAAAATATTGTATTTCCTAGAATAAGTACCTGGGCACTTACTTAAACTTTTGGCTAAAAAGGAAAGGCAGTTATAGGAAGGAGTGTGCTTAATCAAGGGGGGTGCTTATTGAGATTGTGCAGCATTAGAACAAAAATTGAAAGAACAGATGACACATAAAGGAACTGTGCAAGCAAATAGAAATAGAAATAACTAGAACAGGATAGATTTGAACTATTTTCTTGTACTGATTCCACAGTAGTTCCAGCTTAAAAAGCTGTTAATAAAGTGGCAATATAAACAGGTTTTCCATATATCCAGACTATTCAAGAAATTGGAGGAGAACGGGGGTGCTTGTTTGATACAATGGCAAAGGAGGGCCATAACCACCTTACGCAAAGTGATTACAGTGAGATATGTTGCAATCCTTGACCAATGAGAGCGTGCATCTCCTTAAATACTATGTACTGACCCTGTGTTATGTACTCATCAGATGAACTAATCAATCGATCAAGGATTTAGGCATTTTACTATATATATCATATCATCAATAATTTATAATTGATATTTAGCTTTTTTAAAGTATTTTATGTTAGTTTTTAAATGGCACGTATTGGTCAATATTAGATTATTTTGAGATAGTAATTTTGATGATGGTGAGATCTGCAGATACAAATTTATGTTAAGTTTTTAATTGTTAGGTTTACTTATTTTATTTCAGTTGTTTTAAAGCACATTAAATCATATTCATTTGTATATGGCACTATATAGGTATTTAATTTTATTAATTATTATTGTTAACTGTACGGCACCCGGCACCAATTCCATTTCAATTCAATCAATTTTTAGGTTCACTTAGGTAGTCAATTTTTGATAATAGAGTCTGTTGAAGTAGCTTAAAGACTCAACAAAAAATTTACCTTCATCCCTGTGGTGTTTATTCTGGGACACATCAAGGGCATCCTGAAGTTTTTCCTGTTTTTAGCATGCTTGCCTGATGGTGAACAAAATGGTATTAGTATGTCCATCCAATAGCTTGAGATCCTGCAGATGATTAACTTTCCATTTGTCTTAGTGATTACAATAATCTGAACTTAAAAATAATTGTCTTTCTGTCTTTTCCCAACTTTCATTCAAATGAATATTAGGGCTACTGGAGACAACAGCCAGGGTCTTGCCAACTTTGTTTTGTTTTACCTGTTCAACTGGAAGATAAAAGAGAGGCTGAGACTGTTGTAGCCATTGCATGCCTGGTTGTTCAATATATTCCAGTAGAGGCCAATTACTTGAAAATGAGACCTGGTATCATGGTGGTGTAAAGAAATAGACTCTGTGTCTAACATAAGTTTCATTTTGCAAATTAATTGACCTGATTTTTTATCACTACATGCAGTCAGTTTAACATTATCATAGCTTATGCAAAAAAAAAATTAAGAAGTCTCAGAGGAAAATGATAAAAAAAAAAATGTCTTATGAAATGAGGGTAGCACAGGGGAAAAGGTCTTAAATTTTAGAAAAATTCTCGCACCACGTATATAAAAGGGAAAACTTCAAATCTCTCTTCTTGTATAGAGGGTTGCTAGGAAATCTGAAATTCACGGTCATATATTTCAGGAGGCAAATCACGCTCACTTTTCTGTAAAATTCAAGCGCCAGATATGAAATCATAAGGTAAAACTGAAGCATGAATAAAACATCTTGGGGGATTGCATGGAGCAAAATGTAGGAGGTAGAGGCTTATTGAAACCACAAACTGTAGTTGGAAAATTTATTTGACATTTTTCAATATCATAATAAGGCATGTGCATAAAGTTGACCATACTGGGTTATAAACAGCAGTTTTAATTGGGAGTGTTCTCCTCTGAGCCGGAGGGTTACACTAACCAATATACGATAAATGACGTGTTTTCACTCCTTCCTTTTGCAGCTGAGGTCGTCGATATTTTAGATATTTTGATTCAGCATAAATTAAGTGTACATAAATATACGTAATTCTTAGATTATCAACAATTCTTTGCACTGAAACAGATCTCTTTTCATATCTTGAGGTGATTCAGAGTAACCTCTTGGTTAGGGGACTGAACAGGACTTGATTGATAAACGTGGCCACATTTTGGATGTAATTCAGTTGCGCATTTGATCTCTTGATAGCTCTCCTTTCAGTCTTTTTTTCCTTCTATCCCATTGTTGGCAGTTACTAGAAACAACGTGTAGTATAAATGGACGCTAATTAAAGCTAGTTTGTTAGCGACTGAGTTCTCATTAGTTTGATGGTAGAACATCCTATCACGTAATTGGATCTATCTGGAGTTCGAATATTCTCGAGAAATCTAATTTTTTTCAACCTTCTTCGCTGGTGAGAAATGTCTTTCGATAGCGTGGAACAAAATTAACACTCCCTCCTACTCCGTCTCCACCCAGGATTCTCTCGTTATATCTCGATATTGCCCTTCCCGCTGACTAACTCCCCTGACATGTGATTTCGCAAAAAAAAATAATATACGATCTTTTCATTGCTAGAATTTTGATGTCAGACAAGGAGTAAAAAATAACCAAAGCCCGATGGGTGTGGAGAGGGGGTCAGGACTCCTTGGAACCTTCCTCTGTTCCCGCTTATCACAGAACATGAAGTTTTTAATGCCCAACGCCGATTACCATTGTGCACCTTTCCTTAATGAGTTACACTGCCTGTTCAAAAGGATATATTTTTTTTCAGGACTGACAAAGGCAAAACACCGAAAGCACCCCAATCTGTCATGTTTTGAGGGTGTGGCACAGATTCACTCTTACCCCCGCAAAGCTCAAGGTTTGTTGGGCGCTCAGTGAAAATAAACATGAAACTCGGAAATGCGAAAACCCTCAGTGTTTCAGACCACCTATGCGGACGGCTTATTCCAAAGAAATCGAAAGCTGATACAGAGCTATCACCGAATGTGTTCGAAGTCATCTGCCCAATCAGTGAAGCTTCAGAAGCCACAAGTACAAAACGTTCTTTTTTTTTTTCTTCTTTCATTTTCGTCCTTTGCTCTTCAAGAAGAACGAGACGGGGACAAAAGAAACTATTCCGACTGGCGACTTGGCTGTCACCGCAGAAGTGTTCTGATTGCAGTTGCTGTCACTGCACTTTTATGTACAAATAATTAATGCATAATAGCTCGTTAACCACAACAAAAAGTTGTCAATCTGAAGTCAAATTGTGAGTAAATTGACTCGACCCGTGTTTCTTAGTACTGCGGAGTAACAACACTAACAGCTCTGTCTCTATCCAAGCCTTTATCCGGCAGCCGGCGAAGAAATCCAGCTCGCGTCGATCTGTGAAAAACTGAGGTGAATGGAGTTTGTAATGTCTGATTCTTATTCATCAATTTTCCTTGTTCATTAGAGTACCACCTATGTAAGTCAGTGCGATAGTTTCGTGGCATGGACCACATGAAGTTAGTCTCTACTAGAGTGATCATGTGGGTCATCTCTACGCAGCGTGTTTGGCTTGCTGAGGTGCTCAGATCAAGAAACGGAAGAATCGGTCCACCAAACCAAATTCGTCCCTCTCTTGTTTGCATGTTTTGTCAAGCTAATTGTAATTGATTATTGTCGTTGCCAGTTCATCTCTTCGGCGATATCTAGTTTAGCATGACGTAGAGCAATTCTTCAGGTATAACAGACTTTTAATGACGTAAATTTGAATTTAATTCACTGAAAAATTGGTTGTACAAGAATGAAAATTATATTTCTTAAGTGCTTAACTCGGCGAAAATTTGTTCTGGTTCCCGCTTGAAGCAATCAAGAGTAATTTACGATATTTTATTATGTTGTATAACGATTTCGAATACCCATTATTTGAAATACAAAGCTGTATGGAAATCTGGCGTGAAAACGGTAAAGGGTGCGATCTTACTTAATGAGAGACAGAGACGTCAACACAAAAGAAAATCATTTAACTAATTGTCTCTGAATGGAACCATTAACTTGATTTGGACAATTGTTTTACTTTAAATCACGTCTCTTAAGTCTTAAGAAGTCGTTTCGCTCTTCAGTTTCAACCTTTTGGTGAAATTGCCCCCTTGTGGATTCCAGAGTAAGAAGGTTTCTATTGAAATGCAGCCTAAGAACGCTTTCTTTCATATAGCTTAGAAACGTGTATTCGTTTGAGAACGTTTTATGTTGGTTACGGTAGCGACAGAGGAATGTAGCGAATTATTTGTGATTACACATTGTTGAGCTAAATTATTTTCAATTGCAGATTTTTCTTTCAGTGTTCAAGACATGTCAAGCGAACCTCAAACACCGAAGGTGACTGTCACTGATGAAAGTGAAGATGTCACCGAAACTGATCGCTCTCCAGCGGAGAACGCGTTTTATGAGTCGTTTCTTATTCAGTCGCGCTCAGCGATTGAAAGTTTGTACGCCTCGAACATTTACCATAGTCAACGGCACGCTAAGCAGGTTAAAGATCTCGAGAGACAAAAACATTATAGCATGTCTGAAATGAGCAACAAGCAGAAGGAAATGGTTAAGAAGATGGCTCAGCTTCAGGAAAAACAGGAGAAGATACAGATAGAGAAAAGAAAACAGAACATGAAACATTTATCAACAAACGGTGAACATCGTATGAGGCCGCATTCGACATCATCGTTATCCGATCGTAAGTCAGATCGGAAGGCAATGCTCAAACACCGACCACGATCGGGATCGATGCCGTTTCTCGAGCCTCTTGATCCAAGTCTCGTCAACCGAAGTTTGTCGAAGTCTACCGAAAATCTATGCTCAGAATCATCACTACTAAGCGCAAGTCTTCCGTCAAATGCGCTTCTATCGCGATCTTGTGAAGATTTATCAAATCTTGGCAGAAAGAATGGAAAAATCATACTACCAGCCTTATCGAAGCTTCCGAGGGCGAAATCAACCGGAGACTCCACGGAAGATTCCGACTCAACCTTCATAACCCGAATGCCATCTTCACCTCCGACGAAAGCTAAACTTAACCTCAAGTTAACACCTTCCGGCTTCAAACCCGAGCATCGCCGGGGATCGCTCGATCCTTCTGTTATGAGAGACTTGGACAGACGACGAGGGATGAAAACAGACAGTCCTCCGGCCAGTCCAAAGAGTACACAAACGAAATGGGTTCCTAAATCTTATGGTATGTCTCAGGGGAGAGGTCTCCCTCCTGTGTGATACCTTGACGCGCAGATGTCATTGAAATGTTGAAAGGACTCACGAAAGGTGATTTTCGACTGAATTTAGCAAAATTTTATCGTAGTTCTCTAATGTAAGGAATTGTTCGCGATCATTTCCTCCCATGAAAACTGTCTAGTGAGATTAGGTTAGGCCGGTGCGCACGGCGAACCAAAATGTTTCTTGTTGAAATGACAGGAGTAGGTAGGCTATACTACCACTCATAAATTTGTTTGACCAAACGAGGGACTAATGTCTGGCATTATATTACTTAACGAGACAGCAGAGTGTGCAGTTTTTCTCAGTGACAAGCTTTCCCAGGCAAGTTATTTATATTGGAAGCTGACACGTGCACTCCACTCTTACTTCCGCGCATGTCTCCTTTTTAGGCCGGTGCACCTACTCTCGTTCCCAGTCCTGGACAGTCTACTGTGCAATGTTCTATTCTCATGGCTGGAGAAATAGAAAGCGAACAAGGAATCTTTCGAGCAAATGAAAAGTAAACATTTGCAAGTCTTTTTACAACTATCTAAAATTGCACACACACACACATACACAGACTTCTTGCAACCTTTACCCGCTAGAAACTAAAGAGCATGTTACAGCATACAAGTAGGCTTAAGTTAGTATCTGCATCAGGACGCATTAATTACCTGGCCCTTATCATGACTTATGAGATAATTCAAAGAGGTGTTAACCTAGAAAACGCCCATAGATGCCATGTTTCGTTGATTTTTCTCTCTGCTTTTGAAACTTGGAAATGAAATTAAAGCATAGCCGTTGTACTAGGTTATAAAATAACTGAGACACCGCCGGCACTCTGATTGGTCAAAAATAGATATTGTATTTTACAATAAAAAAATCAAACACAGTAAAGACTTTTCAGTCCAACACAGGAAAGCTATGTGTATAAACTCCCAACTTTCTAGCCCCATTTATAACTCAAAGATCGATTCGAATAAGATCGACGTCTTTCTTCTTGGTGCCTTGCCTTTAGCCTACTCTTTGCCAGATGTATCTGATGACATCGACAGATTCGCGAATGCACGTCATAATTAAGAGACTGTCATTTTGGCGAAATTAAAAAAACACAAATAATATATATTTTGACCTGTGGCTGATGGCTCTGAGGAGAGGTACAGTTAGATTCTCTTTAGTGTCCCGCAAATGATCAGTGGGTGCCGTCTTTATAGCCAGAATTTGGGCTACCTAGTGACGATAATCGATCATTTCGGAAGTAAACTCCTGATTTTAACTCTCAGGTGGCGTATATTGTTGGTTTTAAATTACTCATGAATATTCAACCGCTCTTTCGTAAAGTTCGATATCATTTCTTTCGCGTTACGGAATATAAAAACGTGTTCAAATGGTGTCCTTCTTTAGCAGATCAACAGCTTCTCCTTCAAACAGCTTATTCCACATGAACTTCATGACAGCAAAATAAAATGTAGCCTCAGTTGCGTTGAGTACAATCCCTAGAGCTTGCAATCCTGTCGACCGACTTTCGAATTGATGGATTCCTGTAATGTCTAGTGCTGCTTGCGAAGACATCAATAAGAACAGAAAAAAATTCTCTAAAAATAGCATAACAAGTGTCAATTTATAAGCGAACTGGAGGCAGGGTAGCCCTTGCGACCTGTTGCTTGGCGCAGGTACAAAATTCCACAAGCAAACTACAATCGTAACGGTAATTTCATCAACGAGAAAGCCAACCTCTATCATAGCACTTTCCATTAAATGTTCGTGGAAGAACAGCATGAGGTTATAGGAGATAACCACGATCAGCTGGAAGATAAAAGACCAAAACCGGGCCAGTTTAATCAGACGAGCGCAAACAACATCCAGACCAGGAAACTCCGGCAGTTTAAACAAAATCCCAACAGCAATGAAGTTATTCACGGCCGAACACATCTGCCATGCTATTTCGAACCTCGTTGGGTTTGAATACAGAGTAAAATTCTCACATCTCAGCGTGGCAAGCTTAGCTCGTAAGAAACAATCTGTTGCGTACACAGAGTAAAGACCTAAGCTAATAAATCTCCATAACAGGAAGACAAAATACGCGCTAATTATGATGCACTTAGTGTTAAGCAGTTTTCTTCCACTTTCACATTCCCGTTCCTTGTAATTTTCTGTTGCTGCTATATGCTTGTCCGTATCTGTGGGAGTTTCTTTCTCGTCTTTGCTCCCGGGCATTCGCAGTGGTATTTAAAAGCCATCTGCTTTACACAGGGATTTTTCTTTTTAATTTATCTAAGTCACAAGTGAAGCGCTTGAAAGTAAACCTTGAAACTGAATACCTGTTAGGCTTTAATAATTTATTGATGGTTATGGGGAAACTTCTGGGGGCGATGGATCTAATTCTTGATTTCAATAATTGAAGTTTACTCCGGTCAAAACCACTGAACCGAAATCTAAATTATAAAGACAAAGAAAAAAAGGAGACAACTAAAAAAAATACTTGCAAAACGAAACATTACGATCGAGGAACAAAATCAGCAGAAATGAAAAACATAGGCAGATGCGAGGTTTCTTTCTAAGTGACTTATGCCTTTAGATAAGAAATGGACGATATTTGTGATGAAGTGAGAAGTTGTTATATAATGGTAGTTGAACTGAGTGGAGTGCAATTTGGTCTGAAATCATATGAGTGATTTCAAATTCAAACGAGTGCGTAGCAAGTTTTTGATTTGAAATCGGAAGTATGGTTTCGGACCAAAATTGCACGTCATGAAGTTAAATTACCATTTTATTACCTCCATTTTGAAGTCGCAAAATCTTTAAAATGTTTTGTTGATCCAGGAGTGAGCTAGCCATGGTTTGTTGAAAGTTACGAAGGTTGTTTTTTAGAGTCCTGCAATCTGATTGGTTTCCTTAAACAAGTAATTGGTTGTAATATTTTAGTAAAGCTTTCCCATTGGCTGGGTAAATAAGATGCGATTTAGAGCAAGACATGTTGCGATTCGTGAATAAATTGCACCAATGAGAGCCAATCAGATTACAAGGATGACCAGTGGTTTCAAAATGGATGAAATAAATTGGGGTACTTTTCTCTCCTCAGCGTGGTACACTCATCGCAATTTAATAAACCTTGACAGCCACAGTAAATCGATCTAGAACGCCTTGTGAAGGCTATGCTCAGGAATTCTTTAAAAAGTTTGGAGAGAGAAAGCACTGTTGAGGAAAGGGTTAAAGAGTTAAAAGTACTTTTGGCGTGCCAATTAATTGAGAAAGGAGCTACTGACAATAAAATTAGACTGTGTATATATCGTATTCAAAAACACCGATCTTGCCTCATCTTTTGTGAATAAAAAACAGCATCAACAAATTGGAATTGGAAGACAATAAAACACCTGAAACCTGAATTGACATAATTATCTCGCGCTCGCAAACGTACTCGGCAACGTGCTCAAGATCTGTGGTCAAAGAAGCCTAATCCTAGCTTAGGTAACCTGTGGTCTGCCAGCGTTCTTCTCTCTCTACCCTCACAAGGCATAAATTGTCTCCCCACCCCACTCGGGAAATTTGCATAGGAGTAAACAAAATGGCTTCTGCGTCGCTACATGGCGACCGCAGCCAAGTGGTTTCTCGCGGAAAGAAACCTCCTTCTCCGCTTGTGCAAGGAAGTAAAACACCAACACCAAGAAGCACTGATACCAAGAAACGTCTGAACAGTTCTGATGGTAGCTCAAAACGATTCGTTCCCGCGGCAAAGGTTCCAACACCAGCTTGCAAGTCCGCAACGAGACATCGTCCTTCAGATGTCTTGAATCCAAAGACTGTGGATCCGGTAGGGAAATATTCCTTAGAATTACCTCTTTAAACAAAGAAGCTTAGATAATGATTCTTCCTTCATTCAATCCTGCAGTTTTTTTTTATATCGTGGTATGGATTTAGTTTAGCTCAAACCGATATAAATAATTAATTTTTTTACGATGTTGACAGCTCAAGGCCAAGGCCTTATTACAGTAAACAAATGTAACCTGAATTCATCTCCTTGGTTTAAGTTTAATGACAAGACGCCAAAGTCTTCTTTTGCTGCTAGTTATACAAACGGCGGAGTACCGTGCAGGTGAGTCGTGTTCGTTTAAAGGAATTTTCCTTGCACAACCTTTCAATATATCATTGCAAACATAAATATAAATGGTTACATCTACATGTAGTTAGGCTTTAGTTAAACACGCATTCAGACTTTGTGGCAAATCTGTTCACTTACTGCATACACTGTACGTATATGTATTCATTTAAAAAGCATAAAAACTTAACAAGAGAATCCTTTCATCGCCCTGCTGTTGTGACTCATATAATTGTAATTTACTCTTTCATTAGCGTCTGATTGAAAGACTGATATACATGTGGGACAGTTAACTGAAGTCTGTGATCACATGCATTTTAAAGTTAAAAATACCCATATTATCTTGGCTTGGTATTAGAGAGAATGCTTATTATTTGAAGGGCCAGTGCTATTTGTAGTCTTTGAAATATTTACTTGTACTTATTAATACCAAATTGTACTTGTAATCATGTTATTAAAATTCCTTATGAATAATTCCCCTAAATTTCACGAGAAATCATGTTATTATTTATAAGTAATTTACAAGACAAAGCATCACAGAAAGGCAAGACAGATAGAATTTCAACAGGGTGTGTGTGCTATTTGTAATTTGTACTTGTGCTATAATTTTGCACTTGTGTTACATGAAAAATGCACTCATTTTCAACCTAAGGGAAATGCATAATTTTTCATATATGTTATTAGCACATTGAAAGCATTTGACTTCTAATATTGTTTGTTGGATCCTGAGCAGTGTGATGTTCAAACAAAACCAAAGGTTTTCTATCAATTTTGAAATAGATAGACAATGCTGAAAACTATGCAGTGTTGGCTTTTGGCATTATATAAATAGCTGAATTATGCCTGCTTTTTTTTGGGTTGTTACTTATGATCTTTCAGAGGTTAGATATAAAAATAATGTCATCATTGACAGTATCTTACTTCCTTATTAATATATAAAACAAATAGATTTAATTTTGCTGTGGGTCTGTTCAGCAGTAGATCACAGAAGACATAAAGAACATCAGTGATATACTCAGCTGCACCTCCTGTGCCACTTTTTTTGTGCTTACCGCATTTTACTGTATCTATTACAGAAAAAAATGCATGGCAACACAGAGTCTATTTTTAATCAGAATTGATCTTATGTCCTCTTAGCTGCATCTTGGATTAATAATTTAACCAGACAGAAAACCCTGAGCAGTAAATACTGAAGCTAACCTGCTTGAAGCACTCTTAAACAAACCTGTAGATGTAGGAGTAAGTGGCAGTATGTGCATGTAAGGCTAGGCAGAGGAGATGGAAAGTCATCAATGTTAGCATTGTGTGCAAATGAATCGCAACTTTTTTATGGCTTTCTCTTTACTATCTCTGTACTTGTAGACAAGACTGTGATATTTTTCTTACTCAGTTAAACTTCATTAAGGTGCTACAAAAGAGACCACAACTATGGAGTTTATTAATTTAAGGTGGGATGGGTACAATGTAATCAAACAATTTTCTTAGTGAGTGTGTAATGTTTGGGCCAACACAACAAGCTATTGTGATCTTGAGTTGACTTGCTCACAATTGTTTTCAAAGGTTGGTTCATGGCTCTGTGAAACACAAACTTCAGTGGAGTACTTCTCCTGATAACCTGCCATTTGATCCTGTGTTAATTACATTAGCAGAGGTGAGTGACAGCAATATTGTACTATTTTAGGCTCAAAAGACTTGCGAGGAAGTTACAGGAGAGAGATCAGAAAATTTTAGTTTTAGATTTTTTAGTATTAGACAAATATGAATTGTTTCACACCAGTATGCTACAGAATATTTTTTTTAGATGTGTACTCTTACAATTAATGTCAAAGCCTAAAGATACAATGCAAGGTTTTCTTTGAAAATGTAATAACAGGTTGTACAGTGTACATGTGATCTAGTGATTCATTAAACCCTTTGTAAAACACAACTATTAGTCTTCCTTTCATTCAGTTGAACCTGGTTTGATTAAACATGTTTTGCTGGTGACTGAATGGGACACAAATTATACTTGTATCTCAGTATTTCTTTTAGTGGACTTAGGTGGTGGTTGATGTCAATAGGTAGTGATCTTATGTGTTAACCAGGCTAAAAAATTTTGTTTTTGTAGGGTCTCAGAGAGACAAAACATCCTTATACTTTTGTTGCACGTGAAGGATTCAGAGAAATGCTTGAAATTGATGATGCTACATCTCGAACATTACCAATTCTACCAAAACTAATTGTACCTCTTAGAACTGCACTGGTAAGTTTATTTGAAAACTCTTCAAGATTAATAGTCACTTGTGCACTCTTTGATAGAGAAAGCTGAGAAGGTTGCTCATGTTTAACCATTAATTGTCATCTTCTAGAATAATTTTCTTATTTGAAAAAAGATGAAAATAAAAAACATGATTATATCATGCACCCAACAGGCTACCTTGTTTAATTTTTACAGTGCAACTTGAATGTGAAGTGAAAACCTGTAATTAGCTACATTGTACTTGATCATTTTCACATGATGTCACAAACATTATGATAGCCATGTTGGCTACCAAAACAAAAGAATAATGGTCACATTTTTGTCCAGGTCAGTCCTGTTAAACTCTCTTCAGATGAAATCAGTTTCTTTTGTTCCAATAAATTTACACATGATTGAAATCTTCTTAATTTATGAAATTATCTTAATTCTGGTAAAAGTCAAGTCCTTGCCTCTAGCAATACATGTAAACATCAAAACAAATGACTTGACTTTTGTTTTTCTATCTAGGCTTCAAGTGACACGCAAGTTTTTCACAGTTCTTTGGAAGCTCTGGTGCAGCTCAGTTCAGTTGTTGGTTCTGCCCTCAACCCTCATTTGAAGGCTCTTTTGCCACAGGTACACAACTACTGTAATATTCTATTTCTATTCTACCCCAAACCAACCACTCAGAGTTCTTAGGTGTAGGGTGTATGTTGTGTTCCAGAGAGGGTATTTCTATCACTTGCCTTTTGAGAGGTCTTGAAGGGGAGGGGGGTTGGTCATTGCTTAGCAAAGATCAAGCTTACATTTAATTCTCTGACCCCCACTCTGTACATGTAAGTCCAGACTACTACTCTTTTTTTTATCCTACTATTGATTATCATCTGAGTGCTATCAATCAACTCTGCTTGAGCATAATTAACCCTTTACACCCTAACAGCAGTAGACATTATTCCCCTATTCTCCATACTGTTCTCAATACATTTCCTAAGGTGCTGACAAGGAGAATTTGTTTAACAATCTAGAGCTTCTATCATTGGTGATCATTTCCTTTTTCCTTGTGACCCTTATGTGTGATTTAGGGGTGATATTGTTAGGAGAAATTAGATGCTGGTCACCCTTAAGTGTTAAAGGGTTAAACTGTGAAATAGTTACCAGGTTTCCTCACCTTTTCTGTACCTCATTGTTTCTTAGACAATGTAACACATACAGAAGCTTTAGCTTGAAAAGCCTACCCCATTAATCAAAGAATCCCTGTGTAGTTTGCTAATTAGTCCATTATGCACTGTTCATGTAGGCTGTGAATTTGATTTTTATTTTAAAGTCTACTTCACACAGTGTTTATTTTATTATTTTTTTTGCTGCTTTGCACAAGTACAAGTCAGTACAAATACATATGCGTTTGAAAGGAAAAAGTTTGAAAGAAACAGTTCTCTAGAGCATTATTACAAGACCCTCATTGGGAAAACAAAACAACAGCTGAGGAGGTCTATAAATTTAATGCTAATGCTATTGCTAATGTTTTAAATTATTGTTTCAGGTGTCAAAACGTTTTATGGACAAAACTCAAAAAGAAATAATCCTGCATGCACTGCAGAGACTTGAACAGAACTTGGGAAAGGTATGTAGCAGTAACGTGTTTTATTTTTTTGCCATTTATCATCAAGCCCTAATGAAATGAACACCTTTTAGATTTTGTGATGAAAAACAAAGTTTATCGTCTCCTCTGTGATGAGGTTTTTTTTGTCTTCAATTTTTCTGGCTGACAAGGTAAGATTTTCTCTGCAACTGTAATTCAGAAAGTTAAGACCTACTGTCTATTAATTATTGTATTTTCTCTGTAGGAAAGTGTTCCAATCATCAAGTCAAAGATACCAACATATCAGTCGGTTTGTCTATAGCACTGGATTGACAAAGCATTGATAATTAAAAATGATATTATTTAGTAGATTACAGATAATAAAATAATATGTATTGATATTTTTGTAACCACAGAATGTTGTATGTCCCTGCTTCACAGAACTAGGTCTTGCTTTTATTTATTACTTTTGAGTGATTAAATAATGATTTTGATTATCAAGATTGAAACTGGGGTTGTCTGTGACAGCAACTGGTAAATTATCAGCCTTTGTCATTAACATTTACCTTTGGCTGTTGTAAATAATTGAATGTAATATTTATTAAATGTGTTCTCAATCTGATGCCTGTTGTGCCCTGAACTGTGACCCTGGATCCATAGGGTCACTTTTAGCAAAGTTTCATGTTATGGACTCATTACTTCATCATAATTTTCCCATCTTGCTACATGACATGACTTTTCAAATTAGTTCCAAGAGTTTGGTGTTAGGTTGAGACACAAGTTTGACAAGTTTGTCAGTTCTTATCAATGTTGGTTGGATAATGTATTGAAAAATTATAGAGAGGAGAGGAAATATATGTATGTTAATCACCTCAGGGAAGCAAGAAGTTAAAAATGAAACAACAGCCCTAGTGCATATGGCAGATTAACTTTTTCATGATTGGTCAAGTCATGCCTGGAAGAGTAAAATATTTTTTTATCAACAATGGCTGAAACATGATATTTTTTCAAAATTATTACAATTATAATTTTACATTTTTTGGAAAAGAAGTTATAATGTTAAAGGACCCTAGACTTAAGGTTTTGCTCATAGGTTGTAAACAAGGTTTATGCATAAAAGAATGCTTACAAATGTTCTATGTACTGCTCTTGCGGTCACCAACTGAAGGAAATTACATGTGATGTCTGTTTCAAAAACTAACTTTTTTTTCTTAATTAGGTTAATATGTTTTACTAATTTTAATGTAATATCAATAGTTAGTCGGAGTGCATAGGATTTACAAAAATCATCACAAAGTTTTTTTTGCGCATAGGCAAATGGCTACTTAAGAAAAACATAGTGTAGTTGCTCAAAGATTTCTTTTGATTTCTATCATTGTAAATACCCTAGTTTAACCACTTTATAAATGTGTGTATAAAAGTGGATATGAGTGCTTGATAGGTGTGTAAAATTGGTGGAAGTATTACATGAGTTTAAAAGATTCGGCTTGGCAGGGAAAAGCAATAAAATACTATCACACTGGATACAAACGTTTACAGATGCTTTCTCTTCAACTGGTGTGTTTAGACACATAACGAGCATTCTTTGAGTTTTGAATCCTTTCCGAGACTCATATATCTGCACTTGTAGCAGGCCACATTGCCCAATCACCCTTGATAGAAGGGGCATCCTCAAGCCACCACTGACCTTCCAACTTTGTTCCCTTTATTTCACCTTCATAATACACATTGTGACTATTGTATGCCTTGCGGAATGTTACTTTGCCATCTGAAAGTAAAATTTGGAGAAGCCTTTTTTTAAACCTCACCAGTAACCACAGTAATAGACAATTATTGCTAGTTCCAGTGACATTTGCAGGTAAACTTATTCCAGATAACAATAATGAAAAGTTCACCTCTGACTGGAATCGAAAGGAAGTCACATGGTACTGTTCTCATTGGCTCTTTCCTCTGAGAATTGACGAGTGGGCAGGGGGAAGGGGAAAGAACTTAAAAGTTACAGCTCTTGACTATGGTAAATTTTCAATTTCCATATTTCAAACTTCAATGTTAAAAGAAAGAATTTTAATTAGTTTTGGGTTGTACACCACAGTTCCAATCTTTACCTTGTTATATCTGTTTTCTGCTGCTGAATTTTGCAATATCAAAATAAGTTTTCAAGTCACTATGTACATTGTAAGGGATGATTCAGTTTTCAAACACCACAACCCTTTTCCATGAATTCCTTTGAAGCTGAGTCTCTTTATCTCATATTGTACTTTAATTTGTGCACAAAAATACCATCATATGGAGATTACCTTATGAAACAGTGCAGAATTCCACACAAGAGTCCATGTTGATACATAACTTTTGACTTGAGTTTCCTTCTGTGAGATGTGGTTGGGCAAGGGTGAGGATTGGGGGTTATTACAATACCTTGCACAAGATTACAGTCACACACAATACAGGATCATGGGTAGGTATGGAGACCTGATATCTTTATTTAAGATCAGTAAAGGAAGATTTTGAGCTATGTATTTTAATTATTCTAGATCAAACTAACTGAAATAATTCTTCTACCTACCTGTTATTTTTCCATCCTCAAAATTGAAGTCACCAACCTCATCACTCCCAGTTGCAGTGAATTGGTGGTTATTCTCAAAAGCCATGTTGATGTCCATGTACCACTTGTTGTTGGCTGGCCCTCCAGCAGAATACCTGTTGTCTACAAAGTAACCTTTCCATTTACCTGTAAAACATCCAGACAGCAAGTCAATCAAGAACAGAGAGCATTCCTTCAAGAACCAAGGAAGGTAAGGAGGGAGGGAGGGAGGGGGGGGTGGTGGTGAAGGCTTTGGGATTGATATATAGCATGTACACTGTCACCCTATCCCTACACGATCGCTCAGGCAGGCATGCAAATCCCAGAAATATGAGAAGGAAATCGCATTGACGCATATATACCTAAACGATGGTATTCCCTAGTTGTTTGCGTTACTCACAATGGGACAACTTCCGTGTTGCGTGACGAAATTAACACGCTCTGAAGTTAGCATCTAAGTTTGTAATGCGACAGAACGCGAATGATGTATTTCTCTATTGGAGAAAAGATCACCTACACAGGTAAATAACATGAAGATAAGGCTCTCACTTTCAATTTCCTCTTTTCCTTTCTTCGACGTCAGCGATTATACTGCTTAAAATAATTAGTCAAACAGTGAACTTAAAAATATAGTAGATTTAGAAGCTTCGAATCACAATGCACCATAATGCCGACATGTTTTTTGCTATGATTAATATAATAAAATTAAAAAAGATCAAACCATGTTTTCCAGAGATGTGAAACACAAATTAGAGTTGAACTTGTTTTGTTTACATAACACAAAAATACATACCACTAATGAAGAACTGAATTGTCATCTTTCAATCTTCACAAGTGGTTATTTCTTCGAATTTCTTCTCCTAGTCTGCTTCGCCAAATTAGGAAAATGCAGACGTGAAATCGTTGATTTACGATGGTATCTTTAATTACGATCGCATGAACTTCCTCTCCAGCAGGAAGATTAAAATGTTAAACCGTTCCAGGACTAGATCCTGGCTGCGCGGTCAATCAAATTGATTCGGGGGATTGGATTAGAGTGCTGCAAGGGCCAAGAAAGCTCTGGGGCTTTACCTTGTCGTCATAGTTACTCGTACGTTTCCTATTGGAGAAAGTGAAAGCCAAAATTTTGATCATTTCTCAACGAAGTCACTTCTATTTATATCTGATGTGACGGATGGGTAGAAGTGTTCTCTCTGAAGTTCTCCATAGTTGCATTTGTTGTCACTTCTAATAAATTTATTTCTAGTTTTGGTATAGTGACGAAATAGTCCTATAGAAGCCTAACGTTCAGCCACATTTTTCATACTGGTTTTTCAGAAATACTGGTGGCACCAACTTTTCGAACGTACATCGGTTAATGTGGGTTAAAACTTTTAAAAAACCACGCAATATTAAAAAGAGTTAAAAATGCAGACACTAACTGCAGTAGAAATAGAGAACATCCTACCGATGTTAGGGGTCTCTTGTCAGAAACGCAATTCTTGTCCTGGAAACAAATAAATGTGACGGGTGATGATTTATTTTGTTTGTTTGTTTTTTTGGGTTTTTTTAGCTTTATTAGCCATGTGTGCGTTCCTTTACTCCAAGCATTTTTATGAATGATGTAAAGTAACCATGGAGAACGATTGAAAAATTCCCTTAGAAGTCCTCATTACTAATTTGTAACATTTGAATTCACTTATGAAAAAACTCCTGATTTAACTTTTTCTGTCTCTGCTTGGTTTCTAACATTCCGTTCAAATATCGTCGAGGAGAGAGCCTACTGGAGTTTTGCCCAAATTTCGCTGTCTCTCTTTCTTTCTTTCGGCTATCGAACACGGACAGGGCCTTGGGAACTAAGTGAGGAAAGGAAAAGTGGAGCAACTTTTTTCCAAGTGTTCTTTGAACCAACTACAGAATCCTGATGATACTATAAAAGAATGTCAGTGCCTTCAGCAAGTTGGAAAGTGGCAAAATACAACAGCTCCTTCTAATGAATAAAAGAAAACAGATCAAGAATGAGGGAGTTCTAATAAATGACTGAAAATAATCTTCAAGCGAAATGTCTTTAAGTTTAATTCATCTAAGTTCAAGTTGATGCCTCTAAGATTAAAAAGAAGCTTGCAACTCCCAGTTGCATTTCACCAAGTTCATAATCAACCTTCAGCTTGAAAACCCACTTCGCTTTTAAGTGGAACTTATTAGGCCGAAGAGCTCGGTGTCCATCATTTTAAATCCGCCTTTTAAAGTCAGAAAACTAATTTGAATTACAAATAATTTTTAAAATTAATATTCATAGTTACGCTTATTCTTGCACGTGGAAAGAGCATACGAACTACAAGAAATTTCTGCGTCTTTTCCAGCTTCTATGGATTAAAGAAACACATTATTTTGGCCTTACTACCTTGGATTTTGTCAGTTCTGTGAAGGTCGGTGGGTGTTTCTTCTGTTGAATCGAGTGGTTAACATTCGACGTTGACGATTCATGGCTTTGTAACGACGTTTCATCAGGTAAATAACCTTCGTTAAGATATATTTTGGATAGAAATACAGTGTTTGTGAGTTCCGTTGTTGCCCTTGTAAAAGCAAATTACATGAGTCAAATGTAAGAAGGGAGAGTATGTTGCACATGGCACACTGTAATACAGGTCCTTAGTGGTAGCCGCCATGACAGTTCTTCTTGAACATGATTTTGACAGCTACGAGAGAAATTTGTTCTTCAATTTTAGAGAAGTCATCCCTTATTTCCTTATTTTCCTTCTCCCTTCGGCACTTTTTTTATTATAACACGTACAATAAGTTCTTCATGTTTATAGCGTTTTGTTATTGTGTTTATTTTCAGCGCACTTGCGTTGACCCCGCCAAAGAAAGAGAGGGTAATCCCCAAAACGTTTTTCGTAGAATCCCTATCTTTTGGCGAAGCAAGTCTAAAACCCTGGTAATTTTATGGTTAAGTAAGAGTTAGCTAAGTGTTCCTTTTTTTTTTAAATCTAAAACGCTTTTCCCGAGTTACATGTTTAATTTAACAAGATTTTCTTTTGCCTTTTTTTTTTTTTTTTTCATTAAAGGGCATTGTATATTCTTTGAACATACGCTGTGAAATGTAGTGGTTCTGAGCTACTTTTGCGACCTGGATATCGCCATTTATTATTTGCCTTAAAAGTATTTCGCTTAAGACAAGTGTGTGCTTGTATTTAAATTGGTTTTCTCTCCCCAGTTCAAGAAGAGGAAAATGAGAGCACTTTGAGATATAAAGGAAGTCAAAGGAGGAAAGAGATACAGGACAACTTCTAAAAAGGTTAGCTTTTTGCCTTTTTTATTACAAACTGTAATAAAATAACTGTTTCCGTCAGAGTGTAAAAATTCTAGAAGGGGTATTTCTTTGGTAAGCCTGACCTACGCATGTGTCGTCTCTGCCCAGGACCTCATCTGAAAAACTTAGGCCTATCTCGTCAAAGTTTAATTCCTGCTGACATCAAAATGATTATTGCAATATGGTCTGGCTTCACTCAAAGGTTCCCAATTGTACAACTTTCAAAACAACTAATTTGCTCTAGGTCACGATCAGAAGACTTAACAAAAATGTTTTCGGTAGGTGTTATTTGGTTAGGCTAATTTTTTCCAAAAGGGCCGTCATAGCTCCTGTTCTTTCAGAGATACTTAATACATCTATCAGACTAGGGACTTATCCATCAAAGCTCAAAATTGCTATAAAATTACGCCAGTATCTAAGAATGACGATGATATTGACGCAAACAACTACAGACCTATCTCTTTACTTTCAAATTTTTAATAGAGTATTCGAGAAAATAATTTACAACAGATTGACGAGCTAAAGAAACACGAACTTTTGTATTCCTCACAATACGGCTTTCGTAAGGAGCATTCAACCCAACACGCAATACGGGACATTTTCAATGATATACAGACAAACATGAAACAACGATTGCTATCTTGTGGAGTATTCATTGATCTTAAAAGAGCCTTCGACACCATCGATCACGACATTTTGCTCGATAAGCTCAATTACTATGGCTTTCGTGGATTAATTAATGATTGTTTCTCCTCATGTCTCAAAAATCATCGCACGCAAACAACACAAGAAGGCCATCATATATCAGATAAAGCTGTCATTGGATGTGGTGTTCCTCAAGGATCAATTCTTGGACCATTGCTTTTCTTGCTATATGTCAGTGATATCCGCAGATGCTCAAATAAATTTAGGTTTTACCTCTTTGCAGATGACACTAACATTTTGTATGCGGACAAAAATCTGAAAGATCTTTAGACAATAGTCAACAATGAGCTACAAAACCTTTATAACTTGTTGACAGCCAACAAACTACCTCTTAAAACTAAAAAATCCAATTCTGTAATTTTTCATCTTTACCAAAAGCGACTTGCTTACCAACCAAAACTTTGCATGTTTGATAATGAAAATAATAAATATGTACGTCTCGAGTCTAAAATTTGCGTAAAGTACCTGGGCGTTCTTGTTGATCAGAATCTCTCCTGGAAATACCACATCAATTCTATTGTTACAAAAACTAGTAAAAATGTTAAGCTGGTTGCAAAGCTATGCCAGTCTGTACCTCGATCAATACTACCGAATATCTATGTCACTAATTACTTACCCTTACTTAACTTATGGTCTTGCAGCCTGGGGTCAGGTATGTAAGACTTATCTAAACAAAATTCTAATTCTTCAGAAAAGAGCTCTTCGTTTGCTGTACCTCGCAACCTGGCATGACCATGCAATTCCTTTATTTCTCGAAACTAACGTGCTTCCAATAACTTTTCTTTATTATGAGTCCGTATCAACCTTAATGCACGATATTAATAATGATGAAGCCCCAGCAAACATGTTAAATCTCTTTCAGAAAACGTGCAATATTCACTCATACAATACACGATCTTCTACGTCTGGAAAGTTCCATGTTAAAAGTTCGAGACTAAAAAAACAAACAATTCTTTCTCTCGGCTCGGAGTAAAGCTGTGGAATATGATAACAAGCTTTTTAACGGATCTTCCAAAGAAAGCTTTCAAAAAAGTTATCTGCAAATTGCTATTTGATATCTTAGAAAAAGAGGATAACCATATTCAAATCCCCGTGATTATTAAAAGAGTAGGTACATAGATACACTTGCTAAGGGTTTAAATGTCTGCCTTTCTTTTTCTGTGTTATCATTTAGGAGTCAGTCAGTCTTTAGACATTAGAAAATTTGTGTTATTCATGTAGTTGTCTTACGCCGTCACGATCAGCTTTCCAGCTATTTGCGGGGCAAACTATCTTCTTTTCTTTTCTTTTGTACAAAGAACAGAGAATAAATTGGTTGACGTGATTCGATAAAAATCTTCGAGTAAAAGCATTAAGCACTTGAGGCTAAAACCAAATTATAACGGTGTGCTTCCTATGAAATTAGTATTTGTCTCTTGTGTTCTCCTGGAGATTATTATCAACTGATCTACATCTTTTTTTGACATGATCTCCATAAATATCTCAGAGCCTCATTATTAAAGAGATGTTTGAGCTCTTATGGCTAAAACTAAATCGAAATAATAACCTTCCATAAATTCATACTTGTTTCTCAAATTTCTCTTAGGCTTTATCATCAAATAATATGTTTTTTTTGTATTTGCCGTGATTCAGTAAAAAAAACCGGAGCCTAATTTTTAAAAATCTGTGAGCCTTTGAGACGGACGGTGATCGAAACAATTTGCTCAAAAATTGATATTCATTGCTCCAGTTGCATGTACAGTATATTATCAGCAGATATAGAGCTATTTTTAACGTAATTAAATTAAAATCTAAGAGTTCATTTGTTGAAATGATTGAGCTCTAAAGGCTAAAACCAAATTGAAACAGTATGCTCCAAAAATTGATATTCCTCAATTTATTCGAAGAGTTCAGACTTAAATTGCAGACAAGTTTCTCTTCTTCCAAGTTTATTAAGGAGCATGAACGTCTTTTAGATAAGGAATGGATAAAACCATTTACTCATTG